TTAACACAGCTTACATGAGGAACAATTGTTATGACATGAGAAATTGAGCCAGTGTTTTCATCCAAACATTTGCATTAATTCAAAGATGCACTCTTAAAGGACCCCATTTAGCTGATACCAGTTTTGCTACTTTAAGGCCTTTTGAATTTTTTTGGTAGTTGCTTTCATTTTACCCCACATAGACTGAATGATTGTTCTGGTTCCTTCATCCTCTTTGCTTTTCATCTCCTCCAGTTTCTGAATTTTGTTTGCTTCTTCTCTGTCATTCAGCTTTTCAATCAGAAAGTCATATGGGACAAATGTGGACACTGAATTAACTTTCAAAGCAATCTGCCCTAAATTGTCAATATGTTGGAGGGCTTCTTCCAGCAGCTGTGACTTTTCTGCTTTCAGCTTTTTCAAATCTTTCTCAAGATTGACCAAAAAATCCAAACTGTTTTCTCGTTTTGACTTTCTTTTAATCTCATCCAGGCTTTTCTGAACCCTTTTTGTCTTGTTCACATATCTCCACTTCCCTTTCACATGAGCAGATGCAGGACACTTTAAAGTACACACAGTGCACCGGCCATCTTTCATCACCTCACAGTCCTCGGGCTTTCTAGAGGTTGAACATCCAGGATAGTGACAGTTCTCCTCACAGATGGTACAACATACTGCCCCTTTTACTAAAGTCATTAACCAAATGTCTCCTTCAATGGCTTCTTTGCCTTTGTAGGCTTCATCAAATTCTACAGTGACCTTATCATTAATTTTGTTCTTTTCATGTATCTTCAGAGCTTCTTTAATTTGTTCAATTTCTGCCTCTTTCAGCTCAGACAGACAGATTCTTTCCTCCAGGTTTTGGATGCAGGCAGACAGTCTGATCCGTTCATTGAGAACATCCAAAGTCATGTCTAGTTTTCGAGGTGCAGTTTTTTCCAGAAAGGCAGTAAAGCCATTCAGTCCTCTCATTGTTATTGTATCAGCATTTTTATGATGCTCTTCCTCTATTCGTTCTTCGTGTTGGCAGTTATTGAAAAGGAAGTAAACAGGTTTTTCCTTCTCATCTTTGGCACATTTAATCTTGGCAGCATTGAGAGCCCCAAGCAAGTCATTTGGTTTTCTTCCATTGGAGTGAGTGACCAGAGCTACAATGTTTTTCTCGATGTCTTTTCCAAATAGAGACATCACTGAATCAAAGATGTACTTCAGTCGGTCACTCAGACGATTCTCGCTCGACTTCACCACCAGACCCACCGCATGAAGTTCTTGTATGCCATGTTCTGATCGAAACAATTCAAATAATCTTTCACTGACAATGATATCACGTTCAATCCCTCTGGTGTCTCCATATCCAGGCGTATCGATGATGGTCAGAGAGAACGGCAGAGTTTTACCTTCAAAACCAAAGATCTGATACACGATCACATCTGATGTCTGGCTTTCTATCTGACCTCTATTCTCATCTTCTACGATCTGATACCAGATTTTATCCTCAAATGTCACCCCCATGGCGTAGTTGACCAGTGCATTGATCAGAGTAGATTTCCCTGCTCCTGTTTCACCGACAAGCAGGATGGTTTTGTTTGGTTTGTTGCGTTTTCTTGTCCCTACGGTCAGTCTGGTCAAGGTTCCAAAGACTTTTTTCTTTGTTTTGAGCTGGTAGACTGCAGGGCATCCAGAACGAATCAGGTCTCTGCTGGGAAAGATTTCTTGTGGAGAATTGTTGCTGCAGAGAAAACACATTTATTTTAAATATTTAAAAATGAGTTGGTTTTATTAAAAATTTACATCATACAGAAACATTGTCTCAGGTTTTCAGTATGTAGTTTTTTTAAATGTTAAGCAAAAATTAATTTTGTATCCTAATTTTTCTCCTCGGTTCTTATTGACTTGCACAAATCTTTATTTGTGTAAGTCTAGGTTTTAAATATATCTAAACTTCATAAATGAAATAAGTTCTGGTCACATTTAGATCACAGATTTATTCATGAAATTTTACAGCAGTGATGAAAAGTGCTAACCTTTTTATTTCTAAAGTAATATTAATAGATCTCATAACATCAAGCTCAATCTGGTATGAATAAAAACCATGTTTTTAAAACTCTATGTCCAGGTTTCTTTGTAGTTGCCATGGTGTCTAGACAAGGAAAACCTCTCCCCTTGTTTGGACTAATTATTGTTTTAGCCAAGTTATGTCTGACCTCTAAAATTCAGTCATGCTATTGGCCTGGATGTTCAAAGAATTCATTAAAGACGGCGCCATGGGTAACTACCTCTTACTTTGTTTTTTTTCAGTATTTGTATGGTTGTGTCTCTGAGGAAGCTCCTAATTTCTGGAGCCTTGTTTACATCAAGCATTGCATGTGTTCAGAATAAGCATGATTTTTAAAATTATTTAATATTTACTATTAGTCACACAATTGTTACAGCAGAGTAGAACTTAACTGGATCTCAGAATGGTGTTTTTTTGGACTGGTTGATGACATGTGGCTCCACAATGGCTGGGTTGGAGATTAGGTTACACAATCAATTGAATATTATTAGGCATTCATTTTATATGACTGCCTTTGTGGAGCTAACAGCTTAATTTCATTTAAAAATCCCAATACACTATTGTTCCACATTTTAAAGAGATTGTTAAAGTGAGTGTTTACATTACAGTTCAAACAGAAAGTGGACATAAATGGTTCATAATCTAAGGCAATAATTAATTTTCAATTACTAATCTACTCAGTCAAGTGATAATCATGAGACTGTATAAAAGACTTGTTAAATGAACTCATAATAAGTGCTAATTGATCATACTTGCAGTTGAGCAAGGCTTTGACCCCTCCATCCATCTGCTGGTCTATCTCCTGCAGTTGCTGTTGCTTCTCTGAGTCTCCTTTTTCTTCCATCTTCTCAATCAGGAAGTCCAAACTTATGTAGGTGGAAAGGGAGCAAACTTTAAGCACAGTCTGATCCAAGCTTACAACTTTTTTGAAGGAGTTTTCTATCAGTTGTGTCTTCTCTGATTTTAGGCTTTTAATCTCCTTTCCCAGAATCTCAAGAAGCTTTAAATTATAGTGTGATGCTTTCTTCTTATACATCTTTTTATATTCCTCTTTGGTTCTCTGCACTTTTTTTGTCTTGGCCACATACCTCCAGTTGGCTTTAACATGTGTTGATACAGGACATTTTCCAGTGCAAACAGTGCAGTGGCTAAAATCCATGACCTCACACTCTTCAGGGCTCAGGGCCATCGTACATCCTGGATAGTGACAGTTCTCCTTACAGACGGTACAGCAGACAGCTGATTTAAAGAAGGACATCTCACCACCAATCGGTTCTTCTTCTATGCAGACTTCATCTACTTCAATGATGTTTTCATTTTTCTCCTCTTCTTTGAGTTTCTTCAGAGCTTCCTGAAGCTGCTTATTTTCTTGCTGTTTCAGTTCATTTAGCTTGATTTTCTCTTCTAGGTTTTGGATGGAGGCTGCAAGTCTGATTTGTGACTTAAACCCAAACTTCACCTGCAGCTGCTGAGGTGAAGCCTTTTTAAGAAAAAACATGAAGTCACTTAGCCCTTTCTCTGTCACTCTCCATGCCTTTTCCAGATCTAAGCTAGTTTCCTCTGTTCGAGGCTCATTCTGACAGTTATTGACTGTAAAGTGAATAGGCTGGCTGTCCATGTCTTTTACGCATGGAGTCCTTGCATCTTTAAGGGCTTTAAGAGCAACCGTAGGTATCGTTCCATCTGAGTGTGTGATCAGAGCCACAGTGTTGTTTTGAAGGCCTTTCCCAAAAAGAGGCATCATTGACTCAAATATGTAACTCAGAGAATCACTTAACTGATTCTCACTGGCCTTCATCACCATTGCCACTGCATGGATCTCACGAACTCCATCTTCTGATCGAAATAAGTCAAACAGTCTTTGACTTACAGTCACATCACAGTCCATCCCTCTCTGGCTTCCACATCCAGGAGTGTCAATGATGGTCAGGGAGTAGGGCAGAGGTTTATCTTCAAAATCAAAGATGTCATACACAATCACATCTGATGTCTGGCCATTCTCCTCTTCCTCCACAACCTGAAACCAGACTTCATCCTCAAACCTCACTCCCATGGTGTAATTAACCAGAGCATTGATCAGGGCAGATTTTCCTGTCCCTGCTTCTCCAACAACTAAGATGGTTTTATTTATCTTCTTCACATTTTTTTCACCTATAGTCACTCTGGTCAGCGTCCCAAATGTCTGTTTCTTAGTTTTCAGTCGGCGGACTGTAGGGCATCCTATACTGATCAAACCACTGTGGAAAGGAAACAGTTTAAATAAAAAAATTATATTAATTATTTTATCATTACATGTTTCATTCATTTCTGTAGTCAGTTTTCCTTTTGACAAGCCGTTTATTTTCCCCTGAGAGCAATTTCATAAATGAGAAATCTTATTCTGTCTCATTTTCAGGTTAGGTTTCAATCTTATAATTTTCTCAATAACTATCAAAAAATCCTGTGTCCAGCAGGAGCTTGTTCCCTGATTGTATCTGTCCTGACTTGGAACTCACTCTGTTCTTAATAACGTAAAGTAGTTTTCCTCAGAGAAACAAACTTTATATCCCATGAAACACATCAGATAATGACAAACACAATGGAAAGTTAAATATAAGTTAAGGGCACAGTTAATTATTTCAAAACAGCTGAAAACAATCAAGAGAAATAAGATTTAATTCTATGAAACCTATCAGAATGTTTTTGGACAACAAGTCAGCTGCTATGGGGTGTTTTCAAAGTTACACAGTCAAAAATTTATAACAGTTAGGGTTATTTAGCAAGTCATACTTTCACCATGTTATTTATTAATTTATAAATCTTACAGTTTCAGAGTAAATATTTATTTACCAAGCTAAATATTTACTTTGCAAGTTAAAAATTAAAGTATAAAATCTGCAGCAATCATAAACATTACATGTTTTTTTCTGCATCACATAGGGGAAGATTTTTGTTTTACTTACATGTCCATGGTGTTGTCTTTTACTAATTTCAGTGATGATCTGTCAGAAGATGAGGATATAGTATCTGGATAACAATTCTGGAAAACACATTTACACAGCTTCTTTAATTATCTAAAACCAAAGAGTAGAAATACTGATCCAAAAATAAATCACACTTTTCTTTTAACCGTGCCCATAGCATTGCAGTTAATATCAAGGAGTTCCTGAACCAGAAGAGCAATCAGTGAGAGACGGATATGGAAAGGACGACTGACAGAAAAATTGGATTGGAAAATAAAAATGAATAAGGTGGAGCAGAAACCCACCAGCAAAATGTGGATGATGAGTAACATTACTTGCTATGGATGAAAGAACAATAAGACCATGGATTATGATGCAATGAATTCAAGACATTGAGTTATGGTCTCATGCTTTATGTATTTGTTTTTTATATTTGTTTCATTAGTTGTTTTTCCTTACAAATTGCTGAAAATCCCTGAGAAGTTGTCTATTTATCTTTATGTCTTTGACCCGGAATGTTTGATGGAGTAACCAAGCTCCTGTACTTCTTCAACCTGTTCTTCATTAATTTCCTGTTTCACTGTCTGCTCTGGTTACCTGTTCACCATAGTTATATTAGAATCCATTCCTTTAATTCTGACCTGCTGACCCTGGTTCAGCAACTTCTAAATAAATAAACCCACATCCTCCACATCCTCTGGTCCTCAAACCTAAATCTACCTGTACTCCAGGACCCCCTATTAAAGTGCAGGGACCAGTTTAATGGGGTCTGGACTCTGGACTTTGCCTGCTGAAAAGCAGCATGATACTTTCTTATTCAATCTGCACATCTTTCACGTTAATGTATTTATATTTAATTCTTTGTATCATTTATTTGTTTTATTTTAATTAGATTTTATCTTCAGGCTGTCTTTGCAAAATACTGACTTGTATGTAAAAGGTGCTATTACAAAACATTACTATTTAAAAGTTTTTCTAAAACTGTTACTGAACTGCTCCCTTCATTCTCAGACAATATGGAGGGGTTCACTTGCAGTGCTGCACATTTACAAGTTTCTAGGAGTCCTTTAGCATGACAAGTTTGAGTGGATACCGCATACTTTCCTGTGAAAGCTAAGATCCTGCTATGTGTAAAAAGCTGCATGTTTCACATGTTTCTGGTTCACTACCTGATGTCAAAAAGTAATCGCCTTCAAAACTTCTTTTTCCACCATTAGTCTACTACACCTGTTTTAGATCATAATTATCCTTGATTCAGTCACAAAAGTTACAAAAAAAGTGATCAAACATGGATAAATATTGATTAGACAGAATGCGAGGTCTGGAGAAGATCCAGGAACTCTTCAAAGCTGAAAGAAACAAGAAACATCAGTATCAGGAAGGAATCTAGATCTGGAGGTTCTCAGTATATAAATCTGTGGATGATTGTGATCCAGAGCTACAAATAAAAAACAACACTGGAATAAAAAATAAAAATATTTAGATTATTTTATGAACTCATCCTCAACAAATGAACAAATGCTTTATCTGTGCTGCAAAGTGAAGAAGTGTCTTCTTTATGTAAAATACTTTCTACTGGAAGGTTTTCTACATTTATCAAGTTTTTATTCTGAAGAAAAAATTTACAAGCTTTGGCTTAATAATTTGGATCAAAATTATCTCTTGACTTCAGAAGATTTAATATATTGAACACAATCAACATGTCAGGTTACTATTTCTGATGCATTTTACATGTATTTTCATACCTGGTATGAAAATACATAAATATGGATGAATTTTCAGCATAAGTCATTTATTGCTGAGCAAACTGTCAGAAATATAATTTACTAAAAAAACATAATACTTCAGATACTTGTGTACAGTTTGATAATTAGATCTGTGACCTGATTGGTAGAAATATACATTAAAAGAATACAAAGCCAGAGACCAGAGTTCGCAAAGGGCCCAAGTATGAGTAGCAGCTGTTCAGGTGAACATAGATGACAAACAGAAAGCAGCAGATATGAAACATGAGATGAGGCACATGCATTTTACTAGGTTTAATATACCTTAGGAGAGCTCAAAGCCTAAATAAAAATGTTAAATATAATGAAAAATACAAACATGATGAAAAAACCCACCCAGTTTCTTTTTTGTCACAGAAAAAATGTTTAAATAATGGAAATATTTAATTGTTCAGCATCTAATTTGTTTAATTGAATCTGTCAGAAAAGTAGTGGTCACAGATGATTACTATGGTTCCAGTAATGATCTCACCTGTGATGGCTCAGGAATCTGTTCTGATGGCCGTCTGTGAGAGAATGAGATGTGTTCAGACTTTTTAAGCTCTGTGGGAGGAGACAGACAGGTCACATATTTTTAAAGATACAGTCTTGATAAAAAGAAAGCACACCTTTTTGATCAGGTCTTTAAATGTTATAAAATTATTTCTGTCAAACTTTAAGAATACAAACCACATCAAAGATTTTGTCATGTGTTTTAGTAAATCAAGAAGTCAAAATGGAAACATAACCCCCTAACCACTCGATTTATGCAAAATGTGTAAAATGTATGAATTTAAAGCAGATGAGCTTTCTTCGGACATGACTGTTCTTAGGCAGGATTTTCGTCAGCCTGAGAGAAACTCCACAGGTTTAGAGTCAAATGAGAAAATACAGAAATACATAAAATAATAAACTACCACCATAATATACTACTATTACCAATATGAGTATTTACTAGTACAGTTATCTAGGGTGGTGTTGAGGAAATATACTTGAAAGTCAATTGCATGTGATAGTTTTTGGTAACACTTTATTTGAAGGGGTGAGCATAAGACTGACATGACACTGTCATACACATGAAGGAGTCTTTATGAATGTTTATGACAGTTGTCATGAAGTGTCATTTGGTAAATAATGACAATTTTAATGCAAAGTTGCTCTAAAAGTTGCATTAAAAGGTGATGGTTCATCAAGATGTTGGTGTCAGCACATCAGAAATTATATTAAATATGTTCCTCATGCCGTTTATGGTTATCCTGGTGCATACGTGTCAGCACCGCTTCCCATCTTCTGGAAGGCCTTGGGTTTAAATCCCTGCAGGCTGGACGGGTTGAACTATTTATGAAATCATAGGAAGTGAAACTGAAAATCAAGTAAAATATTTTTACAAGACTCTCAGCTCACCATGTTAACTATTTTCCCCATGTATTCAATATAATTACTATATTTGCTCAAATGTTAATACCTTATCTCTGAGTAATTAAGCATAAGCTTAAACTGATGCTTAATATCAGAAACATGAGATTCCCCTGAGGAGATGCCCCAAGTGGCTGGAGTGAGGAAAGTCTGGTCTCCCTACTTAGGCTGCTTCCCCTGCAACCTGACTCTGGATAAACAGGAGAAAGTGGAAATGGAAAATGAGTTTCAACT